CCCCAGGCAATTAAAACCCCATGTTGCTTTTTTTTTTTTTTTTAAGATTTTATTTATTTATTTGAGAGAGAGAGAATGAGAGACAGAGAGCATGAGAGGGAGGAGGGTCAGAGGGAGAAGCAGACTCCCTGCCGAGCAGGGAGCCCGATGCGGGACTCGATCCAGGGACTCCAGGATCATGACCTGAGCCGAAGGCAGTCGCTTAACCAACTGAGCCACCCAGGCGCCCCCCCATGTTGCTTTTGACTCTATTGGAGTAACTCTAACCCATAACAGAATTGAAGCGCAGGGACTGTGTCTTTGTCTGTACTTTCTCAGCATCTTACACAGAGTAGGTGCTCAGCTTGTGCTTGTTCCATTCAATTAAACCCACACGGTAACAGAAATGTGCTAGGTCAAATCCTCAACTGGGAAGAAATACACGGAATCTTATAGCGGAACTCTTAACAGCAGTTATCTTTGGGAGGTGAGATTCGAGTGCTTTTTATTTTCTTCTGTATACTTTTGATATTTCCTCCAAATCACAGCTTGAGTCTTTGCAACAGATGATTGCTTATAGAAATGAGAACCCTTCTACCTCATTCCTTTTTAAATTGTGGTTTTCATTTTTACAAAAATTATATGGACACATAGACAATCAAATAGTTGCTATGAAAACCAAAAGGACTCCCTTCCCCCTCTCTCCTATTTCCCAATCCACTGAGGACACCACTTTGGATTTTTTTAGTCAATTATTTTGGTATTTATCTCCATATGTGTCAATAACATGCTAATATTGCTTGAATTTGATTTGAATATTTTCTATTCATTCTCACTGTGGAATCTCACTACAGGGGATAAGACTTTAACCCATTTAGCCACCACTCCCCCCCACCCAGGTGCATTCCAATTGGCCCCCATCCTTCCAGCTTATATGTGGAAATTTGGTCAGATTGATGCTCAGGGTTGACCTACGCTGACTATGTAAACAATTACTTTTGATTCCCCGCACAACATTTTATTTTCTCTAGAGTTAATTATCTTTTTTTACTTGCTCAGTTTCTTATGTCTTTACCATTAAATTGACCCCTCCTTCTCCCCCCAGTTTTGTAAATCACCTCTCGGTATGTTCAAACGCCTTAGGTGTTCTGTAATTTCACCTTCTAGGATGATTTCTTGGGGCCTCTGGACTTGCTCCAAACTGGACTGATTTCTCTAGTAGGTCTGGCTACCCAACTGCCATCTTGGGATTTCCCTTCACTGCTCTCCTAGAGATTTCTTTTGTCTTTTTCCTGTTTTGGATCCTTTGTTGCCGGGATCCTCATGTCTTCCTCTTTTTTAGTGAATTCCCTCATTCTGGAGTACCTGCCTAACAAACGGTGCTTGGGAGATAATCTGAGAGTTTTCATGTCTGAAAATCTCTTTATTTTATGTTCATATTTAATTGATCTTGGCTGGATGTGGAACCCCAGCATGGAAATCCCTTTCTTTCAGAAATTTTCAGGCATAGCTCCCCTCTCCTTGCCTCCATCATTGCTGGTGAGGAATCTGACACCATTCTGACTCTCAACCCTTTACACGAATCATGTTTTCTTCTCTGGAAGTCTGCAGGATCTTCTCTTTGTCCCCACTGCTCTTGACTTTCACTCTGACATGCCCCATTGCCATAGTGCGGGTCTGCTTGCACCATTATGCTGGGTGCCTCGTGGACCCTATCAATCTGGAAACACATGTCCTTCATTTCTAGAAAATCCTGCTGAATATTTCTTTGATAATTTTATCTCCTCCATTATTTCTGTGCCCTCTTTCTAGAATTTCTATTATTTGGAGGCCTTGCTCCTTTAATTTTCTCTTTTGTACTCCATGTCTTTGCCTTTCTATTTAAAGAGAAACTGCCTCCTGCTTAATATTCTGGCCCTTCCATTGTATTTTCATTTATGCTCTTCTAATTTCCAGGAACTTTTTTTTGTTCTCTGAATGTTCCTTTTTTAATAGCATCGTCTTCTTGTTTCATGTATGGTATATTTTTCTCTTAGCTCTTGAAGATATGGAGAGTGTTTTGTGTCTGTTTCCCCCTTGCATTTTCTGCTTCCTGCAGGCGACTTTATTCTGTCAGCTCATTTGGGTCTCTATCTTTCACACTAGATGTTTTCTTCTAATGTCTGTTGATCCTTAGCTAGTTGCTCACATTTAAGAGCAGCAGGGAGCTAGAGAACGGCAAATTGGTAGCACTTATAATCAATGATGATCTTCACTGTTTTGTTGTCACTGGCTTATTTTGGTGGATCCCTGATATCAGCGTCCTAGAACATTTGTTTCTCTTGAATTTGTCCGATTCCCCAGAGAAGCTTTTCCAGTCTTCCAGCTGGAGGGCATATGTCTGGCTGCCTCCATTTTGGTTACCAAATGTAGAAAGAAGACTGAGCTCAGGGTTTCAGCACTCACTATGTACATTTTCACTTCATCGCATTTCCAGAACAATACCCGTGCCCCCCACTTTTATCTAGATACTCATTGTTTTTACCCCCTCTTCCCAGATCTGAGAGGGACAGTCGCTATACTTACCTGGGAGAGGGTCTGATGGTCTGTTTCTTTTTTTTTTTTTAAGATTTTATTTATTTATTTGACAGAGAGAGAGACAGCGAAAGAGGGAACACAAGCAAGGGGAGTGGCAGAGGGAGGGGGAGAAGCAGGCTTCCCGAGGAGCAGGGAGCCCGACGCGGGGCTCGATCCCAGGACCCTGGGATCATGACCTGAGCTAAAGGCAGGCACTTAACCATCTGAGCCACCCAGGTGCCCCTGATGGTCTGTTTCTTAAATAAGTTTTCAAGCAATCCTTCTTTTCTCAGGCCCTCCTCTACCCCCACTTCCAGAGACGTCTAGGGCCCCAATTCTTGGGCCCTATGGGAGTTCTTCAATTAAATTGAGTTGCTTGTTATGTTCCCCATTGCTGGTGTGTTATTCAGTATTTTCTCTTTTTAAAAAAAAAGATTTTATTTATTTATTTGAGAGAGAGAGAGCACAAGCAGGGAGAGTGGCAGGCAGAGGGAGAAGCAGACTCCCCGCTGAGCAGGGACCCCGACATGGGACTCAATCCCAGGACCCTGGGGGCATGACCTGAGCCAAAGGCAGACACTTAACTGACTGAGCCACCCAGGCACCCCTGTTATTCAGTATTTTCAATTCTGCTAAATCATTTACCACTGGTCCACTTGCTTTCTCCTAAAATTTCATTGCTGTGAGTCTTCTCTTCTTCCTTGTGGATTTATTGTCTTTATTTTAAAAAGTATTTTACTATCATCTTAGGGGATTTTCAGTGGAGAACAGATACAAATCAGTGTGTTAAAGCTGCCAATATTTATTGTTTTTCTTACTACCTGATGACAAAAGTCACAACGTGTACACAAATAAATTCTGGCAAATGGCTTTTGAAGGTGTTTGTGACACCTACCCTGAATAGGCTGAAAAGCAGGGAGAGGCTGCTTATCACAGAGTCTAGAACCTTACTGTTCAAAAACATGTTGTGTAGATCAGCTTTATTGTCATTACCTGGGAATTTATCTTAAAATGCAAAATCCCAGACTCTGCATCAGACTTCCTAAATCAAAATCCATATTTTTTAAAAAGATTTTATTTATTTATTTGACAGAGAGAGATAGTGAGAGTAGGAACACAAGCAGGGGAAGTGGGGGAGGGAGAAGCAGGCTTCCCATGGAGCAGGGAGCCCGATGCGGGGCCTCAATCCCAGGACCCTGGGATCATGACCTGAGCCGAAGGCAGATGCTTAACAACTGAGCCACCCAGGTGCCCTCAAAATCCATATTTTAACAAGATCCCCAGTTAATTCATAGCCAAATGAAAAGTTGAGAAGCACTGGACCATTATAATAACCCTGATCATTCCATTCAACAGTATTAGATTATGTTTTGAAAATCAATTGGCCAGAATCTTTCCACTTAAACTCACACAACTATCCTTTGGGATATGACCTAAGGGAAACAATGGTTAGTCACAAAAATTGAATGATGATCCAGAACTGGTCTAGGGATTTCAGGATCTGACCATAATTATGCCAATTAGCAGGGTAAAGACTGTCTAGGTTACTCAAAAAGAATCCCAAACACAGACACAGTTTACTTTAGCAGAAAAAGTGTAAAGGCATATATGTCTTATCCATCTTATTGGGAATCAAATTTTAAAAAGAAAGAATAGGTTCTTATTATAAGAGACTGGTAAGTAAGTGATATTGATAAAAGATTAAAAAAGTCAATTCTCGGGCGCCTGGGTGGCTCAGTTGGTTAAGCGACTGCCTTCGGCTCAGGTCATGATCCTGGAGTCCCTGGATCGAGTCCCGCATCGGGCTCCCTGCTCGGCAGGGAGTCTGCTTCTCCCTCTGACCCTCCCCCCTCTCATGTGCTCTCTCTCATTCTCTCTCAAATAAATAAATAAAATCTTTTAAAAAAAAAGTCAATTCTCCCTTGCCTTTGCCAACACTTTGACTTCTAAGAATTAGAAGGAAGCACCTGCTGCCTTGAAAATAAATTCGTCTATTCTCTCAAATCCAGGTCCCGTCCAGATCCAAGAGATTAAACATCAGAAGAGAAGCTCACAGACTGGAATTTGGTCATTCAGGGCAAGGAGGGGAAGGAAGTATGCTCCAGGAAATCTCCTAGAGCTGGAAGAATGCAGCTATTAGCTCTATACCATTTAGGAATAAAGGATAATAGCTAAAAATTGAGTGCATTGACCTTAGATGAGCAAGGCCAGCTCCAGTGAGCTAATGGCTAGTAAGATTAGCCAATTCTCTGGGATAAGGGAGACTGTCAGGTTTGCAGGACAAGTTAATGCCACGGGGAACAGAATTCATAAGAGTCAACTGGCTGAGATGAATTACTGCCAACCATGGCTGCTGTAGAGAGTAAAGCACTTGTGTAGAATTGGTCTGGAAAATGTAAGCAGGGAGAGCGTGTGGCTGGAAGTCTCACTGGGAAGTTACGTAGGGACATGGCCAGTGCCCAAACCTGCTGCATCCGCTGGAAGAGTCCTGGGCTGAGCTCTGCAAGAGGGGCTTTTCCTTGTGCAGGCAGAGAGTCTGTGAACAGAAAGAGAACCATGTCATTTGCAGAAGTCATTTGCCGAGGCTGGTTCAGTCAAAACCATGACTCCAGGGTGCCGCCGAGTAGCTGATCAAAGGACAGCAACAGCGGCAGCTCGTGTGCAAAGAATGACAGAGGCGTGCTGGACCAGGTGTGAGGAGATGGAGGAGAGCGGCACAGAACAAAGACCAGGAGTGGTTTCCCTTGATTCCTGTGAACTCGGCGGTAGCTACTTTAAAGAGCTACCTGGGGTGAGATCATCAGCTGATGGGGATTTCCACTGGACGATTTCCAGAGAAGGAGGGAATGCCTTCTGCAGACAGGGTCTCTAACTGGGAAAAAAGGAAGTTTGGTCAACAATAGCATTATACGAGTGGCATAATCACCGTGAACTAGCACCTGAAGCTTACTAACGAAGCTATTTTTCAGAGACAAACCTGTTCAAAATGGAATCCTTCCCTCTCTTGGAAAATGGAAAATGAGTTGAGTCCTCACTCTAACAAGGCAGAGCATAGGGGTGAAGGGGTGCTTTCTTCCAGGGAAGGATACTGTACCTGTCACCCAAGGATGGATGCAGTCAGCGCTAGGACTGTGTGTTTAGGCGAGAAAGCGAGAATGTCTTCATTTGTACAAAGGAAGTTGCTGCTTGTCATCCAAGGCATAAAGCTGTTTTGTTCTTTTATAGAAGTTCAAAATACATAGAAGGACTGAGTGGATGCAGAGTAGCCAAAGGGATGGAATGCACTGGTTATGAGCTACTTTCTCTAAGCTTCCACCCTTCTGTGCTCCACTTTACGCTGCTCTGCCTGGAACCCTGCAAACCAGATTTCTCTTCTGCCCACTCTCCCTGTTCGGGTCTTCTATTAGAGGCTCTACAGGGCGGCTTGAAGGCTAAGAGGGCTGAGGGATTTATTTCCTCCAGTTTGCTTTCTACAACAGTCATTAGCTGAAAAACAGCTGCGGTAAGCTTCGGATGTTAGTTCACCGTGATTCTTCCATTCGTATAATGCTATGTTGACCAAACTTCCGTTTTCCCAGTTAGAGACCCTGTCCGGTGGAAATCCCCATCAGCTGATGATGTCAGTGCCAGCCTAGCAACCGTTCTTCACTGGGCCAGCAACCCCTGACTTCAGCAGCAATCCTGGACTGCAGGTTGTAGTTCTTTCCTCCACTCCCTAAACGAGCCTGATGATGCCCCTCAGAGATACCACCGCCGGCAAGCTGGCACCTTCTCCCAAGAGGTCCAGGTCCCTGTGCTGCAGGGACCTCCTCAGAGCTCTGACTGCACAATCACCAGCCAGCCAGTGCCCCATCTGCCAGGGTCTGGGTTCCAGCTCCCCGCAGGTCTCTCCTTGGAGCACGAAGCTCCACATTCTCCCAACACCCTTTCTTTCCAGCCCTGGGAGAGGCGTTTGCTTCCTGCAGTTCCCCCTCCAGAAAATTTCAGTGTTCCCTTTCATATTTTCCATCTCTCAATCACTGGTTAACAATTCTATGTGTTAAATTCTCGCTCTTAAAATAACTGCGGTCGTTTCTATTTTTCTACTCAGGTCCTAACTCTATTTTTCTACTCAGATACTTACACCTCTGGCTTTTCGGACATCCTCACACACTCTTTTAGGAGATTAAGCCCTTTCCCCAGTTGAAAATCACTGCTGTAATTAAGCTGCCCACACGTCCCAGTGTGCCTGGAACAATACTGATGCATGCTTGTTGTCCTGGCATAATTAGTAATAGTGTCATGAAATACATATAAAGGTATAGCCATCAAAACAGTATGGTACTGGCATAAAAATGGACATAGAGATCAATGGAATAGAATTGAGAGTCCAGAAATAAATTCTTGCAAAATGGTCAAATATTTGACAGGGAGTCAAGAATACTCAATGGGGAGAGGATAGTCTCTTCAATAAGTGGTGTTGGGAAAACTAGATATTCACGTGCAAAGAATGAAATTGGACTCCTGTCAAGTCAATTCACAGAAATTGACTTGAAATGCATTAAAGACTTAAACGTAAGACCTGAAACCTTAAAAGCTCCTTGACATTCATCTTGACCACAATTTCTTGGATATGACACCCAAAGAAACAAAAGCAAAAACAAGACTCTGAAATACCAGCAGGAGAGGGATAAGTGTTCACTGCCAAAGAACCTGACAGAGAAATTATACCCAGAGCTGAGTCTCCATGAGCAGCCCAGGCATACTGTCTATCAAGCTGTAATTGTCAGGAGAAGCTCCTGGTTGGCTGGGAGATTGGCTTGCAAAGTTCAAAGTTTGCTTAGGCAATAATCAGTTACAGAAAAACATATTATGATGATTATTTTTAAATGTTTGAAGCTGACATGGCCTGTTTTATAATTGTGTTAAAGGAAAAATGAGTTTTAAGTCCACTATAGAAATTACATAATGGAGAGGGCAAACCACCATAAACAATGGAGGGCAGGAAAAATGTCTTTCAAATAGAGCATTCAAAGCACAAACTCTCATGCACAAAAAGGAAAAGTTAAAAAAAAAAACTTTTTAAAAAGGAAGAGTTAAGCAGGGATATTTTTAAGTGATCCACTAATTTGCTGGCAACAAGATTCACAACTTAGAAAGACACTAACGAGAATTAGAAGGTCTAAGATCTATCATGTCAGTGTAATTTAGGAAAGTCAGGTATTACCATCATAAGTGTTTTCTCTTTGAACAGAATACAATGTGCCAAGATCTTTAGAGTTTAATCTGTGGTTTGTCCATTATCTGTGCTGGAATGTTCCTGGACAGAGCTGGGAATCCAACCCTTCAGTGTGTCACCTAGAATTGCACAATGGGCTAGCCTTACTCAGCAAACTAAAAACTTGTTCTGTGGGATACTAACTAGAATTTGCAAAATCTCTTCTTGATAAATGTTTAACGCATCCTCCTTCCATGTGATTGGATATTGTCAGTATGTGAATGTCTTGCTGCCACTGTTATTTCACTCCCCTGCTCTGGGTGGAGTTGTACTGACTACTGGCCTAGATGCACATGGTTACTTGGTCTGTGTCCTTGCTGCCTGCCCAGTGTCCTTGTACCTTGAATCCCAGTTACATGAGCCAATACATTTTCTTTTTGCCTACGCTACTTTGAGTTGGATTTCTGTCACTGTCAAACAACGAGGCCTGACTAATGTTCCTCGTAAGCCTTGTTCAAGGTCTCTGTGGCTTTTAGTAAAGTGGAAAGAGTAAAATCTTAAAAATTAACATATATTTTTTTCTTGGGGAACAGATGTATGAATGTAAAATTATTTTTTTTAAGTTTAGAAGGATACACATCAAGCTAATAATAGTGGGTTACTTCTGGAGACAGAGTTAGAGAGCAGAATGAGGGGGTGATGATCAAAAGAGCCTTTGTTTTTTTCTGCAATGTTCCATTTTAAAAAATAAGAATGTAGTTATAGTTGTGACTTTTAAATTAGTAATAAATAACCATTTTCAAAAGCAAGGTTCACTTTTCCTCTTCTGTACCAGCCCATTTCTGAATCATTCAGTCTTAAAGCAAGGTTAAGCCTGCACATTGGGTGGAGATGGTGGTGTATGGCAGGAGCCACAGTGGCCAGAAAGAAATGTCAGGATCCAAACTAGTTAGAGAGGGAGTCCATGAAAGAAGGCTGCCTGGTGTGAGATATTGGAGCCCAAAGAGGAATGTAAAGGGAATATGCATATAAAAGGGGGCACAGGGAAATTTGTTATATAGAAGGGCTTTGCTCAAATAGGTAAATCTACTAAGGAAAATGAAAACAAAAGTTCTCATGGAGAAGGGAGTAGGAAATATGGAAAAGGAGAAAACGAGAATGAACTCTGAGAAGTTGGACTGTAATTGAAGGTATCTGAGTGAAGTCAAGTTTTTCAATAGTGATAGATGATAGATAATGATAGATGATAGATAGATAGATGATAGATGATAGATAGATAGGTAGATAGATAAGGATTTTCAAAGGAGTATGTTTGTGTGTATATGTGAACATATCCCTCTATTCCCTAACTCTCTCACTGAGAGGTCTTGGGAGTAGCAACATCCCAATAACCATGAAACACCTGGCACCCAGATCCTGGCTCTAAATACTATTCACCAAAAAGAAACAAGATACTGATTTCAGGGCTGATGCTGGAAAGTACGAGATAAGCCTGTAATACATTTTTGTGCCAGAAAGTAAGGAATTGCTCAAAGAATGACAAGGACATGACAAATGGGCACAGAAGGTGGTTTGAAGAGGAGGCTCGCTGGTTAAACAGGTGACAAAATAAATATTAAAGTTAATAGAAAAGAACCAGTGGAATAAAATGGGAAACCACGGGGTGCCTGGGTGGCTCAGTCGGTTGAGTGTCTGCCTTCAGGTCATGATCCCAGGGTCCTGGGATGAAGCCCCGCATCGGGCTCCCTGCTCAGCGGGAAACCTGCTTCTCCCTCTCCCTCTGCCTGCCACTCCCCCTGCTTGTGCTTGCACACTCTCTCTGCCAAATAAAAAAAATAAATAAAATCTTTAAAAAAATAAAATAGGAAACCACAAGGCCATATTGATATTAATTAGTTAACGGGGAATAGAATATTTACATCGTTACACAGTTACCTCCCCGCAAAATACTTAACTAGTTACCAAGGAAAAGAAAGTAACTTTACAGGGGAGAAGTTTCTCAGACACCACCTGAATCAAGTGATGGAAGTGAACTTGGTCAGTAGTGGGACAAACTGAAATCATGCACCACCTGAGATGATACAATGAGAGGAACATAGCTTCACCTGTGTGATATTCCTGCCAAAGAAGCCTAGCCTGGATCCAGCCATGAGGAAAAAGCATAACACATCCAAACTGGGGTGCATTCTACAGCAGAACTGGTTTGCAATCTTCAAAAGTGTTCAGGTCATGAAAATCAAGGAAAGACCAAGGAACTGTTTCAGCCTAGGGCCTAAGATTAGATGGTGGTAATGTAACAATGTTAATTTCCTGATCTTGATGGCTTATGTAGAATGATGTTGTTGGTACAAAATACAACTAAAGTATTCAAAGGTGGTGTGGCATCTTGTTAGCAGCTTGCTCTCAAAAAATTCAGGTAAAAAATAGTTTTTTATACTGTATTTGCAGCTTTTCTGTGTGTTTGAGATATTTAAAAAAAAAAACAAGGTTCATAACAGAATGTACCACAAAGCAATATTTATATTATCCAAGAAATTAGTAATCGTGACTGCTTCTAGGGAAGAGAACTGGAGAACTAGCAGATAGTTCTGAGGGAAAGCTTACTTTTTACTGTACATCTCTTTTACTGAATTCTTTCTTTTTTTTTTTTTTACCACTTGCATGTATTTTCCATGAAGTTTTTAAAATTAAAGTTTAAAAATAAATCAATATTTTGGGGAAAAAAATGTGACCAGAAATTCCATTTCTAGGTATGTGCCTTTTTTTTTAAAGTAGTCTCTATACCCAATAAAGGGCTTGAACTCACAACCCCGAGATCAAAGTTGCACGCTCTATCAACTGAGCCAGCCAAGCACCCCTTTTTTTAAATTAAATTAAATTATTTTTCATTTCTAGGTATGTACTAGAGAATCATTTGCACATATATACAATGAGGTTTATGGAAGAATGTTCATTGTAGTATTATTTATAATAATGGAAAATAGGAAACAAAGTTCCATTGACCTAAAATAATGGCATATCAATTTAATGGTAAACTATGCAGAAGTTAGAAAGGACAAAGTGGACCTACATGTATTAATATGGGTGGATTGATAAAGGTATATTGTTGAATAGAAGTGTCATGCTGCAGAATATGAACCATATGATACCCTTTCCGTAAAAAAAAATTTAACTGTACATATTCTGAGTGTATGTGTGTTTGTGAGTGTGTGTGTTAATGAAGAGCAAAGTTTTGACGGTAATGGTGTCTATCTGATGAAGGACTGGCCAAGGGGCCATGCTTTTGCCTTGTTATTTATTGCCAAATTGTTTTACGGAAATATCAAGTCAACCTATTACCCCGACAATGTATTCCTGCAAACTGTGCAAAGAAGGACATAGACCTGCCTGGTAGGAGGAAGAGAAGAAATAGGTGGGAAAAGTGTAAAACAATCTATATAAGAAAGACCTTGGGGTGGAGAGTGGGAATGGGGAATGAGAGGGGATAGAGGAGGGGATTTGAAATAGGGGATCAGAAGATAGAGGAAGTAGAGAGAGAAGAGAGGAGAGAAGTGATCAGTCAGGGTCACTGAGAAGGCTGAAAAGTTGGGCTCCACATCCAGGGATAGAAGAGAGATCCTATTGTTCCCTTCCTCCGTGGAAAGCCAATAAGCATGAGGAGCTGCTAACAAGTAGGTGGGATATGGGAAGGAGGGAAACTGAGAGATCCAGACCGATGGCTCTGATTTCTCAAGAATTAGAAGGCAAAATTGTCGCCTGAAAGAGTGGGAGTTGAGAGGAAGGCAGGAGAGTGAACATGTGAGACAGGTGTTTGGGAATATGATAGGAGCCTGACGAGGGACATGGAGTAGTATTGTACAGCCGAGGTCCCAACTGTGAACTTTCAGTGACACTAACCCCCACATATAATATTCCTCTGTCAGAGCTCAGCAGTGGGCATTATAGTAGAGAAGAGAGCCGAGAGGTTAAATCGGAATTGAGGTTTTCCTTGGCAATTGGCTCCAAGATGGGATGGATTTTTGCTGGAGGATTTCCAGAGTGATATAGCCTTTGGGTCTGGGCTTCAACTGGTCAGGGCAGGGCTAGGAGAAAACTGAGGGCCATTCAGGATAATATCTTTAATTAAATGCCAGTGAATCACAGATAAACTGGTGTAATTAAAGTCGACAGTGTAAATTAGTACAATCCTAAAAAAAAATATTTTCAGAACACTCATCAAGATCTTTCATGTTTTACCATTTGCTTTAGCATTTTCACTTTCTGTAATCCAAACTTTAAAAGTATACAAATGGACAAAATATACAATTGCACAAAAATGTTTATTTTTTTTTTTAAAGATTTTATTTATTTATTTGACAGAGAGAGCGAGAGAGAGAACACAAGCAGGGGGAGTGGGAGAGGGAGAAGCAGGCTTCCCGCCGAGCAGGGAGCCCGATGCGGGGCTCGATCCCAGGACCCTGGGATCATGACCTGAGCCGAAGGCAGACGCTTAACGACTGAGCCACCCAGGCACCCCCCAAAAATGTTTATTGAACCATTATGTATATAGTGAAAAGTTGGTAATTACCTAAGTGGTCTACAGTACTTTAAAAAAAATATTTACGTGGGGGCACCTGGGTGGCTCAGTCCATTGAGCACTGGACTCTTGATTTCAGCTCAGGTCATGATCAGGGTTGTGAAATCCACCCCCGCATTGGGATCTCACTGGGCACAGAGCCTGCTTAAGATTCTCTCTCTTCCTCTCCCTCTGCCCACCGCCCCCCACCACGTGAATGCGCACACTCTCTTTCTCTTAAAAAATATTACTTATTAATAGATTATTACACAGCTATTAAATTCATGGCATGAAAAAATAGGTATTAAAATAGGAAATTGCTTCTGTTAACTGAAAAACAGCAGGCTATAAAACTGTGTATACAATATGAGTTCAACTACATAAACATAAACATTATAAAGAAATCTGGAAGGAATATACCAAAATTTAAATTATAATTATCTCAGGGCACCTGGCTGGCTCAGTCAGTAGAACATGCAATGCTCGATCTCGGGTTTGTGAGTTCAAGCCCCATGGTGGGGGTAGAGATTTCTTAAAAAAAAAATAAAATAAAATAAAAAAAAAAGTAAGTAAATAGATAAAATATATCCCAAAATTTAAAAAAAATTATAAAAATAAAAAATCATAATTACCTCTTGTTAGGATTGTAGATTTTTTTTCCTCATGTACTTTGTATTTTTGTAATGCACATACAAAATTTCATACATAATTTATAATTAATATAAAATACACTTTATTTTATTTTTAAGATTTTATTTTATTTATTTGTGAGAGAGAGTGAGACAGAAAGAGAGCACAAGCAGGGGGAGCAGCAGAGGGAGAAGCAGGATCCCTGCTGACAGAGAGCCCGATGCGGGACTGGATCCCAAGACCCTAGGAACATGACCTGAGCCGCAGGCAGATGCTTAATCAACTGAGACACCCAGGCGCCCCTAAATACACTTCATTTTAAAATAAAGCAATTTCGGGGCGCCTGGGGGCTCAGTTGGTTAAGCGACTGCCTTCAGCTCAGGTCATGATCCTGGAGTCCCTGGATCGAGTCCCGCATCGGGCTCCCTGCTCAGCGGGGGGTCTGCTTCTCCCTCTGACCCTCCTCCCTCTTGTGCTCTCTGTCTCTCTCTCTCTCGCAAATAAATAAAATCTTAAAATAAAATAAAATAAAGCAATTTAACTTTTCACTTTAAAAAAAAAGGAAATACAGCCAGTTCTGCTGTTAACACTTGTTTTGAAAATGTTAATTTATTCCAGTGAGATTAATATGTTACAGGATAATTAGAACAAAACCCAAATTTCTCATTTGCTAATGCACAATGTCCTATGCCAGAAACAGTAAGTACACACAGAAACTGCGTCCAGCGAAAACCAGCTGTGTGGAAATACACGCGCACACACGCACATAAACAACAACCGTGAACACCTTTCCAATAATCAAAGAGAAAGCATTATCTATTAAGAACTACAGAAATGGCAGGACGCCTGGGTGGCTCAGTCGTTAAGCGTCTGCCTTCGGCTCAGGTCATGATCCCAGGGTCCTGGGATCAAGCCCCGCATCGGGCTCCCTGCTCGGCGGGGAGCCTGCTTCTCCCTCTCTCACTCCCCCTGCTTGTGTTCCCTCTCTCGCTGTGTCTCTCTCTGTCAAATAAATAAATAAAATCTTAAAAAAAAAAAAAAAAAGAACTACAGAAATGGCTCCTCTGCGTGGCTGGTTTAGTGGGTCCAAACACCACGACAACTTCCATTCAGCTGTCTGACAAAACCAAAAATGCAGAGGAGAAAACCACAAAAGGATTTCCAGCAGTGATACAGAGGTTAACTGAAGACCAAGTTTATACATTGGATCAGAAGTTCAATGTCTATGAATCAGCTGTTACAAATGCATGCCTCAAAGAACCTATATTCCAAAGTCAGAAAATCATGTCCCAGGACTTAAGGCTCAGAAAGATGGCCTAACTGTATCATTTAACCTCAATGCCAAAGTGAAGGCAATGAGCCACACTGCTCCACATCTGGTGTTAGAACTTTCCATAATATTTCAGATAATCCTCCTTCTACCACTTACCATAACTCACAAACCCCAGTTCCTCTACGGCAAACTTCAGGTCTTTCTCGAGGTGCCATATTTATTGCAGTATTTATGTATTTCTTGATCATTCCACATGGGTTAAACTGGGTTATCGTTTTCATTAGATTCCTCTTTTTAAGAAATGCGTTTTGAAAAAGATTTTTCAGTGTTGTCCCTAAACCCATTTCCCAAAAACCCTGTGGATTACACCATGTACTTTTGCATAGTACAACGATTTCTAAGGAGCAATGTCTTGAGTTACTGCAGAACTGAATGTCCCTGGATGGGAAGATACACAGTTACCATTCTGCCAAAGTGAACACACAAAGTTAATGCAATCCCATTCGGAGTTCAAATTTGATTTATTTCAGATCTTGACAAATTGATAATAAAGTTAATCTACAAGGCTTTTTCAGCCTTGCCACAATTGACATTTTGGGCCAGATAAGTCTTTGTTGTAGGAGCTGTCCTGTACGTTATAGGATTTTTGCAGACCTGTGTGGCCTCTAACCACCAAATATCAGCAGCCACCCCCTCTCCTTTGTGACAACCCAAAATGTCCCTGGACAGTGCCAAATGTCCCTTAGTGGGCAAAATTACCTCCTTAAGAACTACTGATGGATGGATGGATGGATGGATGGATGGATGGATGGATGGATGAGACTATTTATTTATTTTATTTAAATTCAATTAATTAACATATAGTGTACTATTAGTTTCAGAGGTAGAGTTCAGTGATTCATCAGTTGTATATAAAACCCAGTGAAGAACTACTGATTTAAAAGAACAAATTTGGGGGTGCCCTGGTGGCTCAGTCAGTTGAGCATCCGACTCTTGATTTCGGCTCAGATCATGGTCATGGGATCGAGCCCTGTGTCCAGCTCCATGCTCAGCTTGGAGTCTGCGTGTCCCTTTCCCTCTGCTTCTCCCCTGCCCCCACCCCCGGCCTTGTGGGAAAAAAAATAAAAAGTCTTAAAAAAAAATAAAAATAGGGCGCCTGGGTGGCTCAGTTGGTTAAGCGACTGCCTTCGGCTCAGGTCATGATCCTGGAGTCCCGGGATCGAGTCCCACATCGGGCTCCCTGCTCAGCAGGGAGTCTGCTTCTCCCTCTGACCTTCCTCCTTCTCATGCTCTCTGTCTCTCATTCTCTCTCTCTCAAATAAATAAATAAAAAATCTTAAAATAAAATAAAAATAAAAAAAATAAAAAATAAAAATAAAAATATATAAAATTAAAGGGCAAATTGGGAAGAAAGAAAGGGGGAGGGTTACCTTATTAAATCAAAACTATAAAACTGCAGGGGTGCGTGGGTGGCTCAGTCAGTTGAGCGTCTGCCTTTGGCTCAGGTCATGATGCCAGGGATCATGGGATCATGCCCCGCATCCAGTTCCCTGCTCAGCTGGGAGTCTACTTCTCCCTCTGCCCTTTACCCTATTTGTGTGCTCTTTCTGTCTCTTTTGTTCTCGCTCTCTCAAGTAAACAAATAAAATCCTAAAAAAAAAAACAAAAAAAAAAACCCACAAAACCTACTCAGGGGCAAATGCATGCTAACTTTTATGAAAAAGGGGAAGATGATTCACAGGGTGGGCCACAGTGTCCAGAGGGTGGTGCCAAGAGCACAGAGTATGAAGAACCCAGAGCCACAGAAGATTGATTATTCACGGGCCTTGAAACCTAAGGGAGTTTACCTGCCTGCATTTCAAAACTACTTCGTCCTTTTGAACCTTCCACTTCCCTCTTTTTGAGCCAGAATTTCTGTAAGTCTTACCTTATGCCTTATACCTTATACCTTATACCTAAAGTCTTACCTTATGCCTTATACCTTAAAGTTCTAACACCAGATGTGGCCACCATGCCACCATTCATTATGCATTGGGAACAGATAACTCCTTCAACTACACAAGCCCACAGATGGAGAAGAATGGTGACCAGACACCTCATCCGTACCTGGTTCCACGAGATGAGATGTCAGGAGATTTGGGATTTGGGAGCTGCCGAAATTTAGGTGAGATCTTGTGCTTTGAACTGAGGCTGTGAATGGGATGTTACTTTGGAGACCTTGCAGTGGGGTTGCATGGATCTAGCCTGTGGGATGGACACAAAACCACAGTGATGCAAAACAAATCAATACTTGCCCCTGGTGTGGGTGGGTGAAGGTGGGACTCTAAAGGGAGTTTTGAGTGTGACGGAACTGTTTTATATCCTGATTGTAGTGATTTGTTCTATATCCTGATTCGTAGGATACAAGAATCTATACACGTGTTAAAATCCATGGAACTGTGTACAAACAGAAAAGTTAATTATGCTAACTGGTAATTTAAATAATTAAAAAAGAGAAAAGAAATGGAAGGAATAGAGAGCTCCATTAATTCAATTTATGAAGTCGTATTATCTGTGAATAATAAATACTGGAATCATCTAGAGAAAGGAAAGCTAGAATTGGGTCCAGCCTCTTATTCTTTGCTTGATTTTTAACAGTAAGTTTCTGTCTATTCAACCTGAGCTCTCAAAGGGTAAACTTACTCTCTCCTTTTCCTGCGGTCCCAGGTCCACAGTGTCTGAGGTTATCAGTTGATAGAGTGTATCTCCTTTGATAATACAAAGCTCTCCAAGCGGAAGGTCATAGGAAGGCACCCCTTCTCACCAGACCCTCCTGGAGGCCACTTACCGGCCCCTGTGTATGAACCTTTTATAACCCTGGTCTGTCTTTTCAACCTCTGCCTATGTCCCTCTGGAGTATAAGGAAGCCCATTGCCCTGCACTGGACCAGCCTCATAACTGAACTGTTCTCCCTCTTTGTCTTCTTATTGGACCCTGACTTTTCAATAAGTCCCATTCCCTCATCACTCCATTTACCCCCTCACCGGCCTTCTGCCTGCAATTAGTAGTCACTCTGTTACTGGCCCCCACATTCTCACACTCCTTTTATTCACACCTGCTGACGGGCTTTATCAACCCTGCCTTGGCCCCATCAGCTTTCTCATCTTTACCACCAAGATCCTCCGTGCCTTTGGACTACATCTACCCCCAAGATGCCCCTCATTTCCTCTTAACCCTGGGATTCTCTCTGAGTCCTTTTGCTGCCAAACCTGACTATCCCCTCACTTAGCTTTATTTCATGCTCACCTGAGGGTACCAGAGACCTGTCTCTGGGAAGACTCAACAATCAGGCTTGTGGAGGCTGGTAGCCTGTTTCCTCAGTCCTGATTTTATTTTATTTCTTTTATTTTATTTTTAAAAGATTTTATTTATTTATTTGGGAGAACACAGGAGAGCACGAGAGCGGGGAGGGGCAGAGGGAGAAGCCGACTTCCCACTGAGCAGGGAACCAAATAGGGGCTCGATCCCAGGACCCTGAGATCACGACCTGGGCCAAAGGCAGACACTTAACCGACTGAGCCAAGGCGCCCCATCCTCAGCCCTGATTTTAAAGAGCTTCTGGAGAGAGAAGTTTCCTTAGGAGAGGAAAGAAAAGAAGGAAAATAATTTCCAGATAACCGAGACTAGATTACCATCTGAATTGTAACTTGGAGAAGGGTTGACATTTTGGACCGGGTAATTCTTTGTTGTGAGGGGCTGTCCTGTGCACTGTAGCGGGTCTGGCGGCATTCCTGGCCTCTGCCCACTCGATGCCAACGCAGTCCCTCAGGCATAACATCTAAAAATGTCTCCGGACACTGCCAAATGGCCCTGGGGGGACAAAACTGCCCCCACATTGAGAAGGATGGCTTTGGAGTCACATAAAAACAGGCAGGACCCTTCATCCCATTTCTTAGGGAAAAGCAAAGGCAAACCAGATAGCAGCACAATTCTCAGCAGCACCGTGATTCCAAGCCCTTGAGGAGAAACATTTGCAGAATGTTTCAGAAACAGGCCAGCCCTTCTGGGGTCTCCTCTTCCTGCCCGCTAGTTCATGGTGGCAAGTGTCTGATGTCTTGTAGCTGTTTTCCAAGAGAGTCTTCCTTTGTCTCAAAGGACTCTCTCATGACTTTCCAAGTTCAAATGCAGGCTAAAGACCCCCTGTTGCTTCCCCAACCCCAGAGCCTCCACACCCTGGGCCCAGCCTCTACCCTTACAAATTCCGCCCCAAACCAAGCCCACAGCTCTGGCTCAGGTCCACCCTGGCCCAACTTGAATCCTCTCTCCCACTCCTGCTCCTTCTTCTCCCCACATAGGACCTGCTCCTTCTTCTCCCCCCATAAACCAGAATGAGGACTAGTCTGTCACCCAAACTGAAACCCAACACTCAGAATGGCACTGCTGCAGAAGCATCTGGACTGTGTGTGGGGTTTGCCTTCCATAGCCCGAAGATCTCAGGAAGTCTTCAGTCTTTCACCTCCTAACCCTTCTGATTACAATCTGGCCTTTATGGACCAGCCTCCATCCTTTGTAGAATGTTCACTCCCAGTCATGCCCTCCAGAAGCAGCTGCCTGGTGGGAGCTGGCCCACGGGACTCAAGAGTCTCTGGTACAGATGCACTATCAGAGCAAACTTCCAAAGATATCACAGCTCAAAGCAAAAATGGACTCCTGCTTTTCAGTTAAGGACCAGAGAAGCAAAAATACAAAGGTAATAGTATCGAGCACTCAGGAAACTGCCATGTGAGCAACCCAGGAAAATTCCAACAAGGAAATGACCTGGGGAAGGTTCTAGAGCAAGTCTAGGGAAAGGCCCAAAAGACCACCTATCAAGGGGCTCAGAAAGCTACCCCACAAGGGTTGTGGGGGCTCACTCTGAAAGGAGGCAAAAATGGATTTGGGGAGTAACTGAAGGGATGACTCAGAGAATGACTTATCGGGGTCTCAAAGAAGCCCCAGAGCAGAAGCAGCAGGAAAACACCTTCCCAGTACCCTCTGGGCCAGAAGCTGGGGCAGATCAATCAAGGCAGGATTGTGCCACCCATGGCAGTCGCCAGCTATACGTCACTCTCCCTGGGCAGTCTCATGGCCACTTCCAAACCAGAAATTTGGTCTCATCACTGGCTGGGAACTTGGCCTGAATTGTATGGAGAGTTTCTCCCCCTCGATCCAGGCACAAGATAGGTGTTAGAAACCCATGTTATATGGCTTGGGTGTGGCAGGTGTGGGGTTTGCCCCTCAAGCTCCTTGAATCCGTAAAACTTTTTCAGTTGCA